GTCGCTGCAGCCTGCCGCCCCAACAAAGGGTCCAAATTAGGAAATTGAGCAGCGCATTACGATGGTGGCTTCGCCAGGGACAACCCAAGCCTCGAACATGCGATGTACCCAAGCCACGTCAGGGTGTAGGTAAGAGCATTCAGCTCATCCCGTGACTTTTTTACTGACAGACGTAGAATACGTAAAAACCTTCGTTGATAACACTTATTGTAATTCCTCTCTACCTCAATGATTCCTTTCATAATCCCTTCATTGAAACAATATTATAAATTTTTAGTTAGTAATGGCACAGAAGTATAATCAAGTGAAATTAGTCATTAAATTTGAAATAGTGCTAGATTTATTTTATTCAAGCCTCGACATAACTGTTGTCTAATCCCATACCTACTTCACTGCTTCCATCGCAAAATATTTATTTCGTGATCTTTTTTCTCATATTTCTTAGCAAAGAGCTCCAGCTGGAGCCGTAACTCAGCAAGTAACTTAAAAGGTCCTAACTCCAGAGCAATAACTCGACAAGCCTCTCGCAGTGATCGTGACACCTCGCACAACAAACGACTCACTCGCTGCACAAACGGCCAAGCCTCCACAAAACTTCCGAACTTGCGAGTCGAACATGAGCTGTGATTCAGCTCAGCACACTTTTGTCGAGCGAGTTATGATCCTGACTGGCTATTCTCCAGCACCTGGAAATTTCTGATATTGCATGGTGCGACGATATTACCTTGCAACTTATCAATCTTTTGATTGCAAAAATTGGACGAGAGTTTTTTAATTTCGAACATTTGTAATTAAGATACATGTGTTCAGCAATGTTTTCTAACTCTGTGGCGTAAATAATATTTATTAAACTATTCTCTCTTTACAAATCTGTCACGTAGAAATCAATTTTCCGATACAACTCGCAGAATATCCTTCTTGTAACACTAGTGTAAATAGCAATCTGGATGACCCTTCAAAAGATATACTAAAAAAAGTATCATTTGTGTTTTTCGGGTGGCTCCTATCAAATTTTTACTACTTCATTCCCAATTAAAGATATGAATATTGAACTATTTCAGTGTGATAAGGCTAAGAGGAACCTCTCCGAGGAACACAGTTATATGCTTGAAATTACCGATTTGTTATATTGCTACGTCAAGAGAAATAAACGAAGCCATTGAAGTCAATTACCAATTTGAAAAATTCAATTGACGGTTATTGTCATAAACATAAGTGAATTCTTTTGGAAAACTTGATATGATTCCCGTCACAGTCTACATATGTTATGAGCTGTTTATTTGATGTACCTGTTTTCCATACGTCTTCTCGGAGTTGAAATTTTGATCCGAACCGTCCGCAACTGTTACGCATCAAGTTACGAGAATTTTCTGTTAGCGACTAGTGAAAAGTGGGGATGCTGCGTTTCATGTATGACTATGGAGTGTTCACATAATGTCTTGCTAACAAATGGGCCTAGTGAATTTGCGTATTATTTTACAACAGTTTAGAAACTTGAAATGTAACTAATTGTATCCAGTAATTGGTCTATGAAGTGACGGATCGGACTCGGAGTGGTACTGAACTACTGACACTGTGCCTGTGGTAGTTTTTATCATCTATCAAATCATGACGCAACATTTTGAGGCTCCACTGGTGAATTGGTGTACGCTAGGCTACTCGGTAATATTTCATTTGCTTGCATTCTTGTAGTTGTAGAGTCTAATTTATGTTGGATATTTTGGCAGTACAATTTTTATTTGTGAGCTCTATAATCTACCAGTCCCAGGAAGTCTAAAAATTTTAATAATTAAATTTTAAAATTTAGATCAAAGATGATTTTGTGGTCACCTAAAGGCTAAAAATTTGTCATCTAAAACTTATCTAGCTTGAAGTGAATAATTTAAAATTAAATTGTTAATATAAATTTCATATATAGAAAGAAGTAGTAGTACTAACTACTAGGTATTGAGTAATGAGTATTGACATAGTTATGATACCTAGTAGTGGCAACTGGCAATTGGCAAAGCAGAGAGCTTCTCAGAGACTCAGACTCTTCTTCAAGTTTAATTTTATGTCCTATACCTAAGTAGACTAGCAAAATGTCATGGATAGTTGGATACCAGCATCATCTTCATACATAAGATATTGGTTTAAATCTTGAGTAAATGAGAAAATGAAAAATGAACTGATTCTGTGGTTCAAATGATTCTAAAAAATTCTGGAAATCTAAATTGCTACTATGGCAGCCTCTAGGTCTAGGAAGTTTCAGAATGAAAAATATTCAAATCATAATAAAAAGTATTTAATAATATCGCATCAAAAAATATTCAAAATATCCAGGAAATGAAGGATGTGCCATGGATAGCTAGGTACCACTGCCACTATATTCCGATGTTCACTCAGGAGAACACAGAAGAGCAACTACAATACTACGACCTACGTATAAAATAATAACCTAAACACATCCTTGTGGCTTGTGCATATCTCAACACAACATCATTATCCAAGATTGCATCCACAGTAGACTCCTGCGTCTCGAAATAATTTTCTCGAAATGAACCGGGACAGACAAAACGAGACGAGAAAATTCCGGGAAAAAAATAACGGGACAGAGGGTAAAATTTGTCCCGGAATAAACGTATGAACCGAGACAAGACTTCTGTCCCGGACTTTAAAACTTGTGTCCCGGTAAATTATGAACCGGGACGAGAC